TGGAATGTCGATTTCTAGCAATCCTGAAACCATATTTCTTCTCTTCAAATTTCTGATGTCTCTGAAGTTGAGATGGCCTAGTCTATAATGCCATATCCATTCATCTCTGCTAGCTGCAGTCGAAAGGCACTTGTGCTCCATCACATTTAGTTCAATCTTGAAGGTTCGATTCTGAGACATAAGAGCCTTCAAGATTAATCTCCCATTTGCATCAACGACTCTCATCATCTTATCTTCGATTGACACTTTATAATTCTTTTCGACCAACTGCCCTATACTGAGCAAATTTCTCTTCATGCCTGGTATATACAACACATTGGAAATTATTGACCTCTTGCCATCTTTCCTCATAATCATAACATCACCAATACCTTCAGCTGCTAGGGTATTGTCATTTGCAAATTTTACCATATTTTTAATTGAGGGATTTATATTGACAAACCAGTATTTCCTTCCAGACATATATGATGAACATCCTGAATCCAAGTACCATTGGTCCTTGAATCTATCTTCATTTCTTGTTGTGACCACCAACATCATCTCTTCTTCTTCATGTTTTGCAAGCTTTGCATCACTTTCTTGATTCTTTCATTTTTCTGGATAATCACTCGCATAATGTCCATACTTCTGACAATTGTAACATTGAATGTGACTCTTATCAGGTTTTCGACCACCACCTCTTCCTCTATTTGCAACACCACCTCTTTGGTTGCCTTGGTATGGTCTTCTTTGATTCGATACGTCTCCTTCGATTTGGTTTCCTCTACCATTCGATTTGTTATAGCCACCTCTACCTCTGTCGAAACACTTTCCTTTGCCTTTGGTTTCTTTTGCTGAATGTGCCTGCAAGGCCACATCACTCTTCGATTTGCCTGCAGCTCTTTCATTCATTCTTTGTTCATTAGATTCAAGCGTCCCTTGAAGCTCTTCCTTTGTCAATTTTGACAAGTCTTTCCCCTCTTCTATCGCCACCACTATATGGTCGAACTTAGGAGCTAAAGATCTCAAGATCTTCGAAACAACAACTCTTGTTGTTAACGTTTCTCCGCATATCTTGATTTGATTTACTAGTTTTATAACTCTAGTGAAGAAATCGGATATGCTTTCACTGTCTTCCATCTGAAGCAGTTCATAGGTCCTTTTGTGAGTTTGTAACCTCACTTCTTTCACTTTCTCAGCGCCTCCTAAAGACTTCTCAAGGATTTCCCAAGCTTCTTTTGCAGATTCTGAATCACTAACCTTTTTGAAATTGTCTGGGCCGACACATTGATGAATTATAAATAATGCTTTATAACTCAGCTTCTCAGATTCTATGTATTTCTTCCTTTCTTCTTCTGAAGCGTTTTCTCCAAGTGCTTCGACTCCATCTTTTACAAGGTCCCATAGACCTTGACATCTGAATAAGACTTTCATCTATTTGCACCAATTCTCATAGTTGTCTACTTTTAGAATTGGTAGAGTTGCTGGATAATTTGCATTCCCATAACTTGTTACCGTGAATTCTTCAATCGTTCTTGATTGATACTTCCCTCAAATCGAAACAAAGCTCTTGATACCAGATGTTGGAAATCCACCAAAGTCTATGATGAATTTCTACCATAATGACAATTTAATTATGAGACAAACAAAGAAAGAAGACAGGACAAATAATTTTTGCAGAGTTTCTCTCTGCTCACAAACTGTGAAAACTTTATTATTCACTTTGCAACTACAAAATAATGTGAATGACTTGCTTAACTTGCTTACAAAAAATAGGGGTTACTCTCTCTATTTATAACTGAGCTTACACCCTAAGCCCAAAACCCAAAATATCTATTTTGTTACTAAATCAAATTTAATCTATTCTAGACTTAAATCAAATCTATTTAAATCTAAAACAAATCAAATCTTTTCGACACACTGAATTACAATTTAACAACAATGAAGTATAATCTATATTTTGTTCTGCTCCATTCTAGTCCGCTTCGATTCATTATATTCCATCAATTCAAATATAGTCCTTCTCAGTATCTATCAACTTCAATAAGTGTTGCATCTCCGTTTTAAGACCCCTTAAAGATAATTCAGTTGTATTCCAAATCTTGTAAATCTAAGTAATACTAATTATGTTGTTTTTGCTTCGATCTTGCAAAGAATTCACCATGTGTCTCAATGACCGTTATTTTCTATCTATTTTAAAGGCATAAGACAAATATGTACTCGAGGTAATCCAGTCAAGATGATAACCACACAATTATTTTTATTGTATTCAATTAATTAAAAAAACTGATAGATATTTCAATGTAGAAAAGAAAACTTGATGTCTAATTAGTAATTATATGTCTAGTTAGTAGGGGTGAATAAGCGGGCGGTCCGTCTCATTTAGACCTGTCCCGTTTAAGCCCATTCAAAAATGGAGCGGGGCGGAACGGGCCAACTTAGATGTCTGAGCTCAAAAGTAAAGCTCGCTCGTTTACTAATGAGTTGTCGGACCGACCCGTCAATTATTTATTTATTTTTATTTTACAATTTGATTTCCTATATAATTTAGAATAAATTTAATTATTACTAAAAAGGTCGACAAAAGAAATTTTTTAGCAACGCATAATAGAACTTCAACATGTCTTAAGTCCAAACAATTCAAAAAATAAAATAAATAAGGACCAATTACAACAAAAAAATAAAATAAACTCAAGCATAATACAAAAAGTATCAAAATAAATTAAATAAATAAATAATACATATCATCATAATCCTATTAAAAAACTAAGTACTAGAAGAACTCAATTTAGAATTTACACAAAATCAAAAATAATAACAATTACACTGCATAAAACATCACAATTCATAAAATAGTAGTGCATAAAATATCAACACCGAATTTTCTTATTGTATACATCATTAGGGGTGTATATGAGTTGAGTCAACCCACCAAATCCGACCAAACCCACCCAAAAAAATCTTTAAAAGTGGGTTGGATCGGATAATTGGGTGAATATGAGTTTAAAATCTAAAAAATCCATTAAAAATAAAATGGTTTCGGGTAAAACCAGACCCAAACAAAAAAAAATAGTGACCCACTAATCAAACATTTATTATTATAACTTTAATGATTTTGATGAATATTAACTTAGTTGTTGCAATTTTAATCTATTAAACATTTATTATTTTAGTGAAGCATTACTTTAACTAATTTTTGATATTTCACTCTTTAGTTATTTGGATGCTAATACGATTTTATGTCATGCAAGTTCAATTTGTTATTAGTATTTTTTAATAGTTTTTATTAGTTGATGTTATCATTTATTATTTTATGATAATAAAAAATAGTAAAAATAAGTTATTTTATTTTTTTAAGAATATAAAAATATTGAATAATTTTAATGAAAAAATATGATGACTCATCATTTTGTCATATAATATTAATAAAATAGAAAAATCATTTGGGCAAATCTACCACCCAACCCAATCCAACCCAAATATTGATGGATTTGTCCAAACTGCCCCATTGATGTAGCGAGTGGTTATTTTAATTCATCCAAACCGTAGTGCCTTATATGTATTGGGTATCGGGTTTGGTCAAATCCAACCCAAACCAACCCATGTACACCCCTATACATCATATAGACTCTTATATTGACCGATTTCTCAATAGTTAAATTTTAAATTTGTCACATGTATACACTAATCAAATCCTTCATTTTCTTAAAATTCTTAAAATTAACATCTATTTCTAAAGAAAACGTCTGAGCTAATGTATTGACAACTTAAGAATTATGCATGCCATACAATTGCTATTTTATTTCAAGCTTTTCCAATCAACGCATGTATTAGAAAGTTATATAAAGAACGTTACAATTATAATTTAATTTGTCTGTATAATAATTTATAATATAATTCAATCAACTAAGAGAAAAATATTGTTTTTATAGTTAAAGTTGTTTTAATTCTAAGAAAAATAAAAAGTTTTAACAAAAAGTCCGCGGGCAAAATCTTTTCCGCCCCGAATCGAAAACCTCAGCCCAACTCGCCAAAAATAACGGATCAAACGGGCCAAACCGGCAGTCCTAACCCGTTTTATCACTCCTACTAGTTAGAATGCAGCTAGTGTTAAACCTCTTTAAAGGAGAATTTTGTTATTTATTGAGGTTCTCTCTTATTAAAAATTATAGATTTTATGATTAATCTTTACAGTTGTGCATAGCGGTGAAAATATGTTAGATTAATTAACACAGTCCTACAACTTAACCTATACAAGCCAATGTTAGGTTAGATTTTTTTTAAAATAGAAAAGACCTAAATTTTTTTATAAGTCTATTTAGTTAAATAGGTTAAATCACATGCCATAAAAAAAATCTTTCAAGCCTATCAAAATTGTCTATTTTAATAAATATGAATAAATTTATTATTTTTATATTGTATTTTCTATTTATATTAAAATACAAAAGTAAAATTTAGTTATATAGAAGAACTTGTGAAAATAAGTTTAAAAAAACCTTATGAGTAATGTCATAAGTTATTTTCATAAGTTGTCTCAAACAAATATTCTCTTCAAACTTATGTTAATATGTAAGCTCAAATAAGTCTATATTTAAATATTAACTGAATTGCTTATTTACATATGTTCAAATGATACAAGTTTTTTAAGCAATTAAATGAACTAATCAGACTTTCGAAAATATCAGACTCAGACCAAAAAATAAATGTACAATATTAAACTTAGATTTTGAATTTTTTGATAGGTTACACTCAGACTTAGCAAAGTCTAACTCGGCCCAATCTATTTTCACTTCTAATTATACATAAAAGATATAGGTTTCTAAAAAAAAAATAAAAAAAAAAGTCAGTGAGGAGGTAAGAAGTTCAATTTTCTTATTTCAAGAGATATGAATTGGGTCTAGAGAAATTGTGTTAGACTTCAGCTCATAATATTTGAGTTGGGCCATCATCGGTCCGATCCAGATCATCATCTTCTGGTTTCGATTTTAGCTTCAGACCAGAAATTAAGAGCTCACACAAAAATGGCAAGTTTTTCGCCTACATCCAGCAAACGCCCCAAATCCGAAGCAGAATCCGACGAAGAAAACAACAAGGAACAAGATGATTGCTGCGGAATTTGCTACGTCGAACGCGGAGTTTCAATTCCAGGTGAAATCAATTCCTGCAACCACTATTTTTGCTTCGTTTGCATCATGGAATGGGCCAAACACGAATCTAGATGCCCAATCTGTCGCCAGAGATTCTCCAACGTTCGTAGACTCCCTAAGCTTGGCGTCTTTTCTTCCTCACGGGACGTTAAGGTCCCTCTTCGTGACCAGGTCATTCTCTTCTCTCTTACCGTAACACATTCAAAATTGCATAAAACTCTAATTTAACTGAACCATAGTGCAAAACATGTTTGTAGGTTTGTCATCCTCGTGGAAATAGGACAAGTGGTCCTGTTGATTCTAATGCTGAACTCAAATGTTGTATTTGCCATGTTGTGAAAGATGAAAATCTTATAATAATATGCGATCTTTGCGATATGGCTTCGCATACGTATTGCGTTGGCCTGGGATACACCGCTCCTGAAGGTGATTGGTTTTGTCATGATTGTGCTATTTCCCGGGAGACTAATGCTAATTATGGGTTAGGCTTAGATCAACAAACTGTTGAGTTAACAGCTGAGCCTGGTGTAACCATCTTAGATATTGTGAGAGAAACAAGCAGCCAAGTGGCTAGAAGACCGATGATATCTTCTATTCGACAAAACAATTCTTTGTCTACGGTTAATCCTTTACCTTTAGTTGATATAGTGAGTAGATCCGAAGGTAAAAAGCCTGTGACGGCCGCGCAGCGTGCACAATGCAATGTCCAGGCGCTTCGTGAAAATTGGAATTCTTTGAGAAGTGGTTCATTGAAGTTCGATAGAAAATCATTTCAATCTGGTGGCTCGAGTAGTCAAAAACATGATTCTTGTTCCTTATCACGTGGCAAATTAGAGGGTTCACACTCGATGGCTTCCACAGGCCGTCAACAATCTACAGTCCAAGGTGCTCAATTTGGTAACATGGTGAATGATGGCGACTTGAAATATGATGTTCACAAAGCTTGGCAAATGATGGATAAAGCAAAGACGATGAAACAGACTCCTAGGAGAACTAGCAGAATTCCGCAGGTTGTGGATGATGATCCCTCATGTAGTGGCACTAGAGAAAAATCATTTGCACCTCGTAGTTGTCCAGAATTGAAAAACCTACAGCCCAGAACATTAGACTTTAGATGCACCAGAATAGAGGAGCTGTGTGGCTATTCTAGTCTGAAAAAAAATTTGGAAAATCACTTATCTCCGTTGTTGGGAGAGAAAAGGAAAAGTAGGGTTTCATGTGAGGAGAAGATACTGCATTTGAGGGACCATACTAGTACTACTCATTCAATAGGATGCAAGGAACGTCTATTGTTCGGTAAGGTCCATACTGGTACCCACAGTGCTCCCCGTCACGATGAAGCAAATTCTGTGAGGGAACAAAGGCAGTCTGCTTGCTTGGTAACTTCAGTAGGTTCAGCATCCTCTAATAAGGATGTGGTTATTTTCAATAAAGAAAAGAGATTTGCTAAAGGCTTTGGGAATGAGATCACAAAAAGTACTGAAGATGCAAAGGCCGAGATCCAGTCTCTTGTTAAACTGAATCTGAAGTGCTTAACTAGAGATAAACAATTAGGTAATAATAATTAATTGTTGAATTTATTTTTTCCCTCAATATTAACATGCCTATTGTTGGCTGAAATTGTTTTAGATAGATGCTTCATATACACCTTTAAGTTCTATTTGTGGTCACTAGGTAAACTCATTTGGTAATTGGTTTGCATTATACCTTTAGCAGTGTATGTATGTTACAATGCTAGACATATATTCTAAACGAGAAACTTCTGTTGCTGTTGTACTTGTATCAGTATATGTATGTTTCGAACTGTTAAACATGTATTATGCATATGATAGTTGTTAATTGAATGAAAGTATTTTACATGCAGTTGTTTATCATGCAGGTGTCGAAACTTTCAAGTTAGTTGCGAGGCAAGCCACACATACCATCTTGGCTGCTTGCCATTCCGAGCAGCACAAGTCTAATATATGCTCCTTAAGCTCCGTATGCAGCCATACTGACCACATTACACAGATTCAGAAGTCCACTTTAATGACCAATTGTTGCCGACAATGTTTTCAGCTCTTTGTGAACGATATTGTCAAATCCATCATGTTGGAAAAAGTGGCTTGTTGTTCTTGATATACATTTTTTCGTATTGTGTTTTTCATTTCAATGATTATTATTTTCAACTATGTAAATAAATTAAGGCTTCCCTTTGGCTCAGGGCCTCAGGCAACCACATTGTTAACTTTATGTTGGAGGTAGGTGTTGCATTTCTATCATTTTACTTTTTCACTTGGATTGAAAAGGAGTTGAAAAATGTATTTAAAATGTCTTTATCTTTAAAAGTAAATAAGTTTGTACTATCTAACTACTACTCATTTTCGGCATAATCTAGGTATTTTATGTGATTGCATAGTGTACATTTTTTAAATTAAACTATGTTATTTCTTCAAGACAAATATATCTATATTGCCTTAGGGGGGAAAAGATATTATAGAGATACAGAGCACAAGCTAATACATCTCAATAGGCCCGATTCGTTAGTTTTCTCAGCATTGTTTTGATCCATCACACCAGCGGTTCCGTGGTTTGAGAATATTCATCTATCAGGGGACGGATGCATGTTTCTCAATGCTTTCATCTATTTTCCTCATCACCCTTTTGCTTGCCCCTGCTCGCATACAGGTTAGAATAACTTTTCTGTTGAATAAAAAGTCGTTTAATTTTACATCTTTCAATATTCTGTTTTTTTTTCTTGTAAAAAATTAACATATAGGGCCTTGACTGTTTATGCTTATAGTTTGAGTGTAAACTACAATTTAGTTTCTGATAGGATTTTCTATTCAGCATTATTTGTGTTTTTTTTCATTCATTGCTCTTTGTTGTGTTGCTATGGCTTATTTGCCAATCTGCTGAAAGGAACTGTAAGAGTACATGATAGATAGCTGTTGTGCAGCACCACAGAGAAGTCTTGCCTATAGGCTTAAAGTCCATGATTATGATTATTATTATGTTTTGTTGTGCTTCATCTGTTTTAGTTTGAATGTACGGAAGTGTTACTCTTTGTTAAAGTTTGTGACATGACATCTCATCCTTCAAATGGTTTAAAATTTTGATATCTTCCTATGAATTCTGCAAATATGTCTGAGCAAGGCCTAGAGACTTTCAATTCATACCATGTCACACACATGCTGAGTTTTTTTCAAGCTGTATCCTGTAAGTAGCATTTTGAACTGTCAATGATTAAATGTTTTCTTTACAACAGAACTTAATATTGTAAGCAGTACATGCTGCACCTTGGTTCTAATGCATTTTCTGATCTATTGGCTTTGGTTTTAATGTTCAACAGTGTTTGAATCTTGATGAAAAAAAGTCATGAGACTATCTAAAATAACAGAAGTCAGAGGAGAATAGAGCCTTATTTTGCTAATTATGATCCAGTTGAGGAAGATGATTGTTGAAATAAGAGAGAATGAGAGACATTTGAATAAACCATGTGTTTCAATAGCACTACGGAGACTCTATTATATATAGAGAGATTTACAGCTAATTACATGCTATAGTCTATATGAGACTTTCTATATACAAATATTCTAACATATACAAATATCAACACTTCCCCTCAAGTTTGAGCATATAAGTTAAATGCATTAAGCCTGCCACATATATAAGTAGTTTTGGACTTGGCAGGGCTTTGTGAACACGTCTGCCAATTGATCATTAGAGTTGACAAACCTTGTGACGATGTCGCCTGATTCAATCTTCTCTCTGACAAAATGATAGTCTATCTCAATATGTTTGGTCCTCTCATGGAAGACTGGATTTTAAGCAACGTGTTATGCAGCTTGATTATCACAAACAAGAGTCATTGGTCTTGTTTCTTCAATTTGAAGTTCCTTGAGCAATTGCTTTAACCAAATGAGTTCACATGTTGTCGTTGCCATGATTCTATACTCTGCCTCGGCGTTTGATTTTGCAACTACATTTTGTTCTTATTTTTTCAGGATATAAGGTTTCCTCCAACAAGTATACAATACCCAGAGGTGGATCATCTATCAATGGGTGATTCTGCCGAATCATCATCCGAGTATTCGACTATCTGAGTATGTCCTTTATCTTCATACACGAGACCTTTTCCTGGAGTACATTTGATGTATCTCAGAACTCGGACAATAACATCCATGTGTTCATGGCAAGAAGAATTTAAGAACTGATTTATCACAATAACTGCAAAAGAAATGTTCAGACGAGTGACTATGAGATAATTCAAAATTTCAACCAATCTCCTTACCTTTCTGAGTCAGATAGAGGCTCCTACTGATTGGGTAGGAGTTTGATATTTGGATCCATAAGAGTATTAGATGGTTTAGCGTTAAACAAACCTATTTCGTCCAAAATATGCATATCATATTTCCGCTGAGAAGTCACCAAACCATCTTAAGATTGAGCTACCTTAATACCCAAAAAATAGCAGAGTTTACCAAGGTCTTTTGTCTGAAATTGATTCGAGAGATGTTGTTTCAACTGGAGTATTCTCTGCTGATCACTACTAATTATGACAATATTCTCTACATACACAATAAGATAAATACACCATTGGGCTAAGTGACGATAAAACACAGAATGGTCAGCTTCACTCTGGACCATACCAAATTGTTGTACTCCAGTGGTGAATGTACCAAACCAAGCTCTCGGAGATTGCTTAAGACCACCATAAAGAGACCTGTGTAGCCTATAAACCATAGTCGATGACTCTTCATAAGCAACGGATCCAGATGGTTATTCCATATATACCTCCTCTTTAAGATCACTATGTAAAAATGCATTTTTGATGTCAAGTTGATGAAGAGGCCAATGTCGAATGGCTGCAATGGCGAGAAGAAGTCTAAATGATGCCATCTTGGCCATATGCGACAAAGTATCGCTATAATCCAACCAAAAAATCTAAGTGTATCCTTTGCTTACCAAACGAGCTTTAAATCGATCAATATTACCATCTAGACCAACCTTCACTGTATAAAGCCAACGACAACCTACCAAAGGTTTCCTAGGAGAAGAGGAACCAATTCCCAGGTACCACTTCTTTGAAGAGCACACATCTCATCAATCATTACCTGCCTCAACTTAGGGTAAGATAACGCTTACCTGGAGTTTTAGGAATAGAAACAGAAGACAAAGAAGACACACCAAATTGAGTTTTTATTTCTTTATAAAATTGTTCAAAAATAGAAAATAATTCAGATATATTTTTCATTAAAAATAACCACGTGCAACGTGAAAAATCATCGATAAAAGTGACAAAATACCTAGACTCAAGAGAGAGTATAGACAACATGCGAGAGACCCTAAACATTATAGTGAATTAAGGCAAAGGGGGACGGAGCTCGTTTATTGACTCGATTGAGAAATTGATTACGAGTGTGTTTCCCTAATTGACACGACTCACAATGTAAATTAGATACCTTCGATAAACTTAGCACCAACTTCAGAGTTTGGGAAGACCGAGATGACCTAACTGAGCATGGATAGTGAGTGGAGAATCTTTAGATGGACATGTCTTAGATTACACTGATAGGTAATAAAGGCCTTGAGACTCACATCCGACACCAATCGTCTGATCCGAACTCCGGTCCTGTAGGGTAACATTATTGTTAGTGAATGTGATAATACAATTAAGAGAACGACTTAAACAACTGACTGAGAGTAAATTAAATGGACAATTAGGTACATAGAGAACAAAAGTATCTGAGTAAGAGAAGGTAGAACTTGAATAGTACAAATTCCTTCGGATCAGGTTTGAGAACCATTGACAGTAGTTATTGTAGTTAAGAAACCAGAGGTAGAGAGGGAAGAGAAAAGACTTTTATTACCGATAACATGGTGTTGGCTGAAGATTTTGATACTGTGATTCGAAATATGGTTGAGTTTGGTTTGAATAAAGCAGATTTGATGATTCGGAATGGAAGAGAATGCTTGTTTCAAATGGAAATATTAGAGTTCAAGGTTTCGAATGATAAATTGTGGAGTGTGAGTCCAAAGCCTTGTTCGAAATAATCATAAGAGGATATTTATGAAGGTCATTTTTGGAAATAACCTATGAACAAACTCGAAACGAAAAGTTCCAAAACATTTGAAATTCAAACGTAAGCGGGATATTGGAAATTCAAATACACAAGCGTAAGAGTGTTCGAAGACGCGTGGAGGCTAGAGGGAAGCAATGATCGGCATGCTTCGAACGTGGCAGATTCTGATAGCAAGACCGTTATGGTCGAATAGTAAAAATAGAAGTCTTATTGTTAGGAATTGGTGTGTCATATCTGTTGTACAAATTCAATAAACATTCAAAATACCGCATGGATAGGGAAACGAATGCTCGAAAGATGTACGTATGATAACACCAGCATTTGCAATTCAATGAAAACTCTTTACATTTTCCAATTTTATCTTTCACTTCCGTTTCATTTGTGTTTCAAGCAATTTTATGTTTATGCCTTTACATTAATACCTTTGTACTCGAAGTCATTTATTCCTTTATGCATTTAAATACTTTTCTTATGGTCGAAACCTCCAAACATTTAGTAACTTTTACATCCACTCATTTAATCCTGCCATTTATCCAATTTCAAGTCTTTAAACTTTTCTCATAAATATTCCTAATACCATATAGAAGTTATCCTTCTAACCATTCAGTATAGTAATCGAAACGGATTGTATATCTTTGGAACAACTCTAATTCGAAATCCTAAATACAAATGTCAGTTTTACAATTAGACTTAGCCAAACAACTATGTTCCATAGGATCAATCTAGTCGATCCTATAAGTTACCAAAGAGATTGAATAACAGTAATTAAGTTTATTTGATAGTTTGGAAGACTAGCGGTTGTTCACCAGAAATCACTGTGAACAAATTGGCACACCCGGTGGGACCCGTTGTTAAGTAAGTCGAAAGTGAAGATTTTTTAGGATATAATCTTGTTGCGTAAGTTCTTTTCTGGATATCGATTTCGTTGTTATATGAACCTTAGAAGTGGTAAAACAACTAATAGTAACCAACCTTTACCCAGAAGAAAACATAGTAGTGGGATGTCTAATCCAAAAATCAACAAGGGGAACAAAATATCCCACATGGAACAGG